AACAACAATGACAAATGGATGGTGGTTGTGTCCCCAGTATCTGCTGTGGGTATGTCTTGTTCACATTGCACAGGCAGACAGACTGTGCCCTGAGCTTCCATGTGGCCTCCAGACTGCTAGGAATGAGAAACAGCCTGTATCTGTGGATGCCACCTACATCTGTGATCGAGCTGGGTGCATGGGACGTTTACACAGTGTTACTAAGGGCAAAGTGTTGTTATTTCTAGAATATTAACACATTCAACAGTAGCAACAGATTCTCCAGGGAGATTCACTTGCCCTTCCCCAAATCACCCATTTCCATCTTCACATCATGGGGCAGATGCCCTGCTGACGTTAGATGTGTTCACGTCACTGCCACCTCTGGTACTACTATGCCATTCACTGGGTGGAAGGGAGTTGTCATCTCTCAAGACTTCTGCTTTGCCCCTGGGCTTTGCTGCTGGCTGGAAGACCACATCACAGGATCCTGGGAGCTGTTGCCCCCTGCTACGTACCTGAGCATGTGGGGCTCTCTTGCTCCCATGCTTATAGTACCCCCACTGCCCTGTTAGCTTCTAGAGAAACACAGCTTCTGCACAGGGCACCCAGGCCTCTGCCCTCCACAACCAGAGGTTACAGTTCCTTGGCTCTTCTAAGGCCTCCTGCCCTGCTATAGGCAACTGTTCCACCAGCAGGACCCTGGCCGGAAGGCTCTCACCTCTCACTCCGTGAGCCAGCGGGTTCACTACTGTTGTCTCACTAGCTTTGGGGTTGTACTTTCTTTTAAGTCTAAGAGGTTCTTGATGCAGGAACCTCTCAGCCTGTGGTCCAAAGGACATACCCTGCTATAGACTCTTTTTCTTGATGGTAGTGATCTCACCTTGAACCTCAGAGGGATAAGGCTTTTTCATCTCAGCAGGATGACAAAGCTGACTATTAACATTGGTAGGCTATACTCCTTTTGCGTAGCCATAGTAACCAGTGTAGTCCCAGCAAGAGTTTTCCACACTATTTACCTGGCCCCAGCCAGTCATTTTGTGGGAGATACAAGACCTTGGAGAGAGTGTCTGTAATAGATACTAATTCACCATACTGCAGTAAGTGTGCTGCTGCAGAACCCTTTAACCTTCACCTTCTCTGGCTCCTGTGATTCATTTCCTTTCCCCTCCTGGCTCTCCCTTCAAATCTTCTGTTTTCTTGCAGGCTTACCATTCCTCTGGCCTCTCTCTTTTGCCACTGTCCCTCTGAAAGCTCCTTTGTTGTTTGAAGTATCTTTCTTGCTTTTTGTGGATGTTTCACATCTCCTTGGCTCTAGTTTCAGCTTCATTTCCAAGGTTTGACTTAGTATCCTGTCATCATCTTCAGATTAACCTGATAGAGACTTTATCTGCCAGCTGATTTTCTTCATACCACTGTAAACAAAAAGCCAAGCTGCCCCTGCTCATAGACCATCCTCACAGTGGCGTGGACTTAGTTTCCTTGAATGGTATCGATTCCTCCCTGCTCTTTGGCCTCCTTCATAAAATCCATTACCCAGTCTTAATATCTGCTGTCTGGGCCTGATCTTATTCAGAACCTCTGAATAAGAGTGGTGTGTCTGAATTCAGTTAAGTCTCCTAGATTCTCAACTATCTTTCTGACAGCCCTCCACCACTGTGTGGTCCAGCTTAACCAGTCAGCATTCTGATCACACCACTTCTCCACAATCACAGTAGCCCCTTTGCTTGGCTGCCAGGACTTCATCGTCTTGCCTCAGCCTATCTCTTCAGATTAGTAAATGAAAGTTCCAAGTGTCCCGTGCTCATTTTCTGTCTGCTGATCCTGTGTTAATGATAATAATTTCATTCTTGAGGCAGTGGGAACCAAGAAAAGACTGCATCAGAACTAGCCAGAGCCCCCAGGCCCGGTCCTTAGCTTGCCCTGGAGCAGAAAGGAGATCCAGACCCTCATTTAGTAGTAGATTTGAGGGGAGCTCAGCCCGAAGAGTGAGTCTTCTGTCAGATGACCTGCAGTAACTGTTAGGACCTTGCTGTGACTTTATGGATGTTATCCGCGATGGTGAGGATGATGCAGGATACGGCAGGGTTCAAGTGTGGAGGGTCAGCTGTGAGTTGGTTCTGACTCCATGGCACATAGCAACAAAGTACTTGAAACCATTTCTAGGTTACTTAGGATACCTTACACAGTGTAAATTCGGTGTAAACAAGCACTTAGCTTCATCTTAGCCCTGCAGAAATTGCTCTCACCACTTACCTCCCTTCTTCCTCTCCCACAAATATTTTCCATTCATGACTAGTTGAATCTGCATGTGTAGGTAGAACCATGGATATGGAGGGTCAACTGTATATTTTTTATGTGCTAATTGATTGTAAGGGGCTCCCATATTTATATGTAAATATGTGTGTGTTTGTATGTGGTGTGTGTGGAAAAAGAGAGACAGACAGACAGACATAATTCATGCACCGTACAATTCACCCAGTTAACAAGTTCTTCCCAGTTTAGTCATGGTTGACAAAGCATCCCTAAATAGACTGGACTTTCTAAAATGTAGGTATGGGTGGACCAGAACAGGAAAAATCACAGGTTGATGCCTTACTAAAAACTTAGTCTAGAAAGCAGAAAGGAGGTGCAAGCCCTCATTTAGTACATTGCTTTGAAAGCAAGGATAGTGTGCATGTTACATAGCAGCCAAATCTCTTGATTAGCAGCATTGCAACAGTGGTGCCAGGCTCAAAAATGGCAGCTGCTTGCACCATGTTGCGTGTCTGTCATTCTCCACAGCCCTGGCAGTAATCCTGGCTCCTGCATCAAGCTCCTGAAAGGCCTCCCTACTCCTCTTCCAGGTCTTCCATTCAGTTACCACTCTGGTAGATCCACTTTATACAGATTTATGGGTTCTGATGTCACTATATGACCATGATTGAAGTGGTTTGAACCATTTTGAAGGCCTGAAGGTAACTAAGTGACTCTTACTATGTTGGCCGAGTCGTAGATGTATCACCACATTTTTTCACCCTCTTTCTTTTGAGAATAAGCTTCAGAACTATCCCAGTCTGCTGAAGATTTCCATGGAAGACTGAAGGGTAGAGGACCGTCGTCCTATTCTTTCCTAGGGATTCTTGTTTAGCCCTCACCTGTTTCTGGGCCCTGCCAACTTTTTTAGAGGCCTTGTTCTCTGCTCCGACTTTCTCTCAGAACTCTGGTGTATAAGGATCTTTTCATTACCTAGTTGCCACTGCACAAGGTGGTGTTCATCATTGCCTTCAAGTCAGAACCAACTCATAGCTGTTCCTCCTGAGGGTGTTCAGTGGCTGTTAATTTCATGGGAAGAGATGGCCCTTCTCTTTTCAGAGCAGCTTATGGATTCAAACTGCTTACCTTTGGATTGACAATATAGCTCCTTACCCACCAGAGCCACCACAGCTCCAACCATAAAACAGGGTTTTAAAAAGCTCACTTCATTTCCTTATGGTTCTAAGGGCTAGAATTTTAATGCCCCTCCAGTAGTGGCTCTAGGAGAAGGTCCTCCAGTGTCTCTTCCAGCTTTTAGGAGCTGCTCACCGTGCTGAGCTTGTCAATGTACCTGCCTCTGTGGTCAGATGGTATCTCTTTTTCCTTTTTATAAGCTGACACTCAGAATGGCTTAGGTTTAGGACCAAAAGGAAAGCCCTATTTGTAAAGTGGTTCACATTTGCAGATACAGGGACAGAGTTCGGCATATTTTGGGGGGAATATAATCAGTCTACAGCAAGTGTGTTACCTCCCTTCTGTGCTGGAGCAAGCTAAGCACCAAGCTGGGCTGCTCTCTCTGTCTTGGATGCAATCCTTGGTGGTGTGCATTGTTTTTAGAATTGTGTCCATAATCATCCTTTGCTTATGTCAGGGTGTTCCAATTTCTCTTTGATCCACTTTGCCAGAGGCATCTGAAGATTAGATCTCACCATTGACATTTGATCTCTTGTGGACTGAAAGAGCCAAATGATTTGAATGCAGGTCACTGTGCCCCAAACACATATTTGAGATGTCACTTTGGGAATCTGGACAGAGATTTCAGCTAAAGCACTAATGTTCCTGTGGTAAGCCATTTCCTACCTAGGACCTGAGGGACTCTACACAGTTAAGGAGGTTATGGGACTCCTAGGAGTTCAGTGTCTGATAGATAGTGGCTTTAGAGCTTGCCATAAAATGAAGGACCTTGGTGACATCTTGGAGGAATTAAAAATTCTTTCATTTTGTCACAAAACCCAGATCTAGCTCAGTCTTCTTCCCACCATCCTAAGAGTGGGAGATCTGCCTGCAGGCCCCTCTCTCACCCCCAGCCCACTGCAGTCAGGTGCCCAGTGCAGTCAGTGTATACACTGCAGTCATGTCCTGCTTGTGCCTGCTTCCAACCCTTAGCTCTTCTTCACAGAATCCTATATTCTCTCTGATCCTGAGGCCATGAATTGGGCAGTTAAAGCCCCAAGTCTTGAGAACTTACTTATTCATTCGACTTGACCTTGATCCTGACTCTGCAGCCCCAGGCTTCCTGCAGAGACTGAAATGCTCACACTGCTGAAGTCTCAGACTGAGAAGCACGTGACAGCTTGTCAGAATAGTAGCCATAGAATGGCCCCTTTTTGGCCCCCATCCTCACTATCTCCCTTCTCTCCTAAAATACCGAGCAAACGCCAAGCTTCTTCCACCACCACAAAGGTAGGAGGAGCTTTGAGGAAAAGCATCTCTGTGGCTAAATGAGGGAGAGGGTTCGTTCATTAGTGGGCCCAGCTTCCTTCTTTCCAACAACCAGCCTCCAAAGACACATCACATCTCACTCGTCCTGACTTCTGTCTCTAAGGAAGGGGTTGTCAACAAAAGTTAGGACACTGCAGTGAAAGAATAACCCATAATTGTGGTTGCAATAATGTTTTATCCTAATTGTTTGAGCAATGGTGAGTAGCTCAGAACCTGAAGTAGAAAATGGCATTGGGTTTATATTTTGAACAGAAAATATAATGATGTTTATATCCCGTTTATAGGAGTGGCAAGGAATTTACTGTGCCCAAAAGAAAAATGGAGATAATATTCAACAAAATGTGAAGATAATACCTGTCATTGGACAGGGAGGGTAAGTAGAAAAACAAGTGCTTGCATAATGTGCCATGTTTGGAGTCATTGTAAAATTTGCTTGGAATACTTACACGCTGCTTCAGAAGTTCCAAAGGAGAATTCATACTAAGATCAAAGTCTCTCCACCAAATGGCCTTCCTGGGTGGTGTTTCTCTCAGTGCCTCCTCATGGCTTGGAGGCCTGGGGCTAGTGGGTCAGGGCCATCTTACTCTACCTCTAGACACCCAAGGGTCCAAAGTCTATTAAGGCAAGATGCCATTTTTTAAGCAGCATGATGAAAACTCTTGACAGTGGACTTCTTTTATTTAAAAGATGTTTATCTACTCTGATCCATTTTATACCTCCTTGATAAGTGACATTTTTGTTAAACCCATGACAACTAAACAAAATGTTGGCGGTGCAAGCCCACCCTGATGCTCCTCAGAAGACAGGACTGGCGGTCTGCTTTGAAAGGGTCACAGTCTTCGGAATCCTGTGTAGCGCAGCTCTTGCCAGAAACATGTGGGGTTACCATGAATCCGAATAAGGCAATAGCATCTAATGATAGTCATGTTGTTTGTGCATCTCACTCACTGCTGTTCAGGAGGATAGCTGAGCCTCCAGTGGGTTTCCATGGGGCTGTAAGTCACACAGGGGGAGTTTCCCTTCTCCTGTGTAGTAGCCCCTGGTGGATTCGAAACACCAGAGAAGTGCTTCCGTTGGGTTAGCTGTGCAGCTCCCTCCAGACTACACCACCAGGGCTCCCATAAGTTTGCTGCAGAAGTCTATAAAATTAGGTTTTAAAATACTGCAAGTACTAATAATGTTTATGGAAATTCTCATGCTACCCAGATATTACTTTAAATGAAAGTAGTATATATTTTGTTGTTGTATACTGTAGAGTCGGAGCTGACCGCCCAGAGGGTTTTCAGAGGCAGTTAGTTGCATGAGAGGAGACTGCCCATCTTTCTCTCATAGGGCACCTGGTGGATTTGAATTGTGTGCATTGGGATTGCAGCACAGCTTCTTGCCACTTCCTAAAAAATGTATATGATTTGATCTAGAGTATAAAAGAAACAGATATGAAAAGTTGAAAGGGATGCGTAGAACCCAAATAACAATAAACTATGCTGTCATTAGAAATTACATTCTTAGAAAATTAAACTAGAAGAGATGCTTATTATTATTAATATTATTATTAACAATGTTTAATGCAAAAAGCAGAATGTAAAATGATACCTAGTGTATGATCTCAATCATGAAAATGTAAGAGGGGAAAAAACAGGAGAAAGGACAGCCTGATCATTGTTATAAAGTCTGCTTCTGTTCACCAAGCCTTCCCCTCTCTGAGCAAGCTCCAGTGCCTGTTACACAGCATTTCATCCTAACTAAGGCTGGCACTGTGATTGCCTCCATTTGACAGATGAGGAAACTGGGGCATAGAAATGTGAAGCTTCTTGCAGAAGGTTCAGCTGCCAACAAGTGGCCAATCCAAGCCATGGCCTCAGCACTGACCCCACAGCTCATGCTTTGTCACAAGGCTCCTTTCCTGGTGGGTGATGGCCTCAAGGCACTGCATCTATTCAGACTCTGTTCTGGTTCTTTGCCCTTTTATGCTCTTTCCAAATTTTTGCAATAAGCATATAGGGATTTGATTATGAGGGAGAACATGAGAACTGAAGAAACTGTAAGCAGATGAGAAAGTCAGCAGCATCTGAGATAAGCCCTCAGTTCCTGGTTAATGAGTTAAATGTGAAAACTGACCCTTGATGTTACCATTGGCTGTTCAGTGAGGGACTAGGAGCCAGAGTATCAACATATAAATGCTTGTGAAAATTAAAGCATGCCACGGAACTAGAAGTCTCTTTTTTGGTTAATATGCAGTATGTGTTTGCTTTTTTAAATTGTCCAGTATGGTGACCTGGGAAGAATTTTGTTTTTTCCTGAAGAGTCACTTGTTTTCTGCTGAGAATGTCTGTAGACTTGTTCCTTTCTTGGTGGCCTTGACCATCAGCAATAGCAGTACTTTCTCCAAAGCATTTGTGTTAAAGGGAAGTGCTGTTTTCATGAAGGAAAATTAGCTACATATCCCTCAGATTAGAAAACCAGGAAAGAAATAACTATTGTTTTCTACTTGCAGAAAAATTAGACACTATGTGTCCATTATCCGAGTGTGCAGTGGAAACAGCAAGGTAGGTAAGGAGAGCTCAGGGGCCCTGGGACCCCAACAAGCTTTTCCGGTCACATAACTAATGAAGCAGAACTAACAACTTCTAACATTCCTTTTTTAGGCTGAGAAAATAGCTGAAAGTGTTCAGTCTGACAGCCTTACAGGTACGGTGCCTTGTTCTTTCTCAGTGCCCTCCAGCTAGCATGCCAGATGTAGCAGGGCTGTGTGTTCCTAGCATCATGACAGCGTTTCTTTCCCTGGCTCCCCGAAATGTGTAGAGTTGGAAGACCTGAACACTTGCAGGCATTTTAAGAGGTGCCTGCACTTGCCAGGGCCTCGATGAATTTCTGCCCACTCTGGGGTGGGTCTCAGCCTGTGGGGGGAGAACTTGTTCCTTCAAATGCACAAGCTTTGTGAAGATGTCTCCAGTGAAGTGTGGTTTGCGTGCTTGCTCTGTGCTTTCTGAGATAGGCAGGATTGGGGCTCAGACCACTGTACTCCTTTTTCATTTTTATTTTATTGTGATTTACAGAGATTGGTTTTCATTCCTTCCTTCATACACATTTTCCTCCCTCCCACTCCCCCAATTCACTTTGTAATGTTTGTCCTGTTCCTGTTAATGACCATACATTTAATGTGTAACCTCCCATTCCTGTCAGATTGTCCTTCCAGCCCCCTGTTGCAGTGCAGTGGTGTATCTGTCCATTCTTTTCAGGCCACTGTACTGTAACAGAGAGAGATGTCTCCCCTAACAATGGTCAGCCACCAGCACACGGGGAAGTATCTGGACTCCATCAGACTTGCCTCACCTCCTGTTGTTTCCTTGGAATGAGTTTCCTTGACCTGGAATTCCTGTTTTCTTCATATATGTGTCATGGCCTCAGCAAATCACCTTCCTGAATGAGGAGCAGTGTTGAAGCTTCACACCTGCTCCAAGCTTTCCCTCAAGTACCTGTCTTCCCAGGCCCTGGGCTCTGGCTCCCTCCTCTTTGTGAGGGTTCCCAGGGATAAACCTTGTCTTCTGTCCTTTCATGCTGTTGGTGATAGGCTTTTCTCAGCGCAAAGGAATATTTGTTATATGCTCCTCTGAGTTTTTATTCTATGTAAAACTCTATGCTGGGTGCTTGGCCTGCAGAGTTTCTTTCTTTGAAGCTTTGGCAATAACCCAGCCAGACAGGGCATTTTATAGGTGAAGTTCCCTTTTAACAGATAAGGAAACTCAAGGACTACGTCATTTCTCCAAAGATATCTACCTAGGAAGTGGCAGAGCTAGTACTTGAATCTGGAATGACTGGCTTCAATGCTCTGCATGCTAGGACAGTTCCAGCTCCACAGGAGAAAGCCCCGTAAGTTTGCTCCCAGAAACAACATTACATGGAACACCCTGTGGGTAGTTCTGTTCGGTCACACAGGGTCCCTGCAAGTCGGAAATTGATTGAACAGTACCCAGAAACAAGAACAACAGAGAGAGTGGGGAGTACAGGGAGTGAAGAGGTGCTCAAGAAGGTCCTTCAGTAATGTGACAAGTTCTGGTTCCAGTGCGATGGAGTAGAACCCAGGCTTCAGCATATGGTATAGCTGTTCTCACGTGTTGTCCAGGTTGGGGAGGCAAAGATGGCAAAGCTTCATCTCACATACCTTGGGCATGGTGTTAGGGGAGGCTATTCCTTGGAAAAGGACATCATGCTTGCAAAGGCAAAGTGTTGGCAAAGAGACAGACCCTCAGTGAGACAGATTGACGCAATGATTGCAGCAGTGGGCTCATGTATGTCAGGAATTATGTGGATGTCACAGAATAGAATAGGGTTCAGGTCTGTTGTACTCAAGTCAGTGGCAAATAACAGCATAGACAGCTGAAAAGACTTTGACTTTTACCCTGTGTCTGGAGAAAGTGAGTTTTCCGAAGAGGTGAAGATGATGATAAGTGCTGTTGACTCAAGTCTGACTCATAGTGACCCTGTGAACAACCGATCTGAACCCTGTCCTATCCTGTGCCATCCTCACAATCTCTGACACACTCAAGCCCATTGCCACAGTCATCATGTCAGCCCACCAGCTCAGGGGTCTTCCTCTCCTTCGCCACACCTCCACCTCTGTAAGCATGATGTCCCTCTCCAAGTAATAACCTCTCCTAGCAATATGTCCAAAGTATATGGGAAGAAGCTTACTGATATATAATGCTGCTGAGAGGCCAGGGACAGTGACAGTTGACAGGCAACTCTTGACTTGGCATTTGGAGGTAAGTGAAGAGCTGAGAAAGAGGGTGGTCCATGGAGCACTTGAAGAGTGGAAAGTATCTTAAAAAGTGCTCCAAAAGTCTGCTGTGTTCCAGCAGAGAGGCTTTGGGCCTCAGCTTCCCATACCTATAAGGGCGCTCATCCTGCCAGGCCACAGAGTTAAGTTGAGGGGTGCTGATTACCTTTTCTCTCACTGCTTTTCCTCATCATAGCATCCCCTGGGTTTACCGAGCAGACTATGGAAATATTGCTAATTTTACTTGAGTAGAAAGATGATGCAGAGTAGAGTGTCAAGGAACTCAGGAAACCATGAGCAGTGACATGAAATCACAGATGGTGCTGAGCCCAACCCTAGGCCTAAAGAGCTCTGGTGCGTGAGGTCTAGTGGGTGAGGAGTTGTGCTGTCCACCCCTCTTTGATGTGTACTCACTATATCCAAGACTCAGTGTCCTTTGAGAAATTTGCCTCTGCCTTGTGGTGGTGACATAAAGCTAACACTTGGCTCATTCCTCCTCTGGATATTCCCCGAGTATGGCTGTGAAAACTCAGCACCGGGGAGGCAGGACCGAGGCACAGCCCTTCACCCTGCCTGCTGAGAGCAGCATCACAGGGGGTTGAAGTTATCAAAGGATTATCTGTGAAGTGGGACAGGATCTCAGAGGAGGAACTAAGGGGGATCAGAGTGATCCTGACAGGACTGGGCTGCTGGGGGCAAGCAGGTATAGTGTTGATGTAAGGGTGAAGTAACTTTGACAGTATTAAGTAGAAATTAAACTCTATTTTGTCTCACTTCTTTTTTCTCCCAGCTTTTTCTTGTCATTTGAATTAAAGCTTTATAGAGGGAGTTGAAACTCCATTCACCTATTTGTACACATTTTGGTTTATGACTCATCTTCTCTGCTCCCTCTCTCAGGAGAGCTTCCATCACTTCAGCACTCATTGCCCTTCTTGTACTTCAGAATGATGGTTCTCATGCCTCAGTTTACCTGCCCTTGTCCCCTTGTAGGCCATCCCCATTGGAGGATGTGGCCCATACTTTACTCCCCTTCAGGTTTAGAGCTTCACACATGGTAGGTGCTTAGTAAATGTTTACTGTGTAAATAAAAGGAAAAGTAATTAAAGATCTAAGTTCACCATACAGTCTTACCATTAATCTCCTTAAAATGTACATTAATCTTCTTGAAGCTCCAAGGAAGAGAAAACACATTGGTCTCTGTGTGGTCCGTTGTTACATGCCATCAAGTCAGAAGCAACTCTTAGCTGACCCTTCAGAGGTTATAAATTATATGGGAAAAGATTATTTGTCTTTCTCCCTTAGAGCAACTGGTAGATTCAAATTGTCTGCCTGTAGGTTCCCAGAGCATATAACAGACCACATATAGGGAGCTCTGGTTGTCTGTTATTTGCTAACGAGTCAGAATCCACTCATAGCTGACCCTCCAAAGGGTTTTCAGGAGAAGTAAATCACATGAGAGATTGCCCATCTTTCTCCCAAGTAGCAGCTGATGGATTTGAACTGTGTGCCTTTGGGTTGACAGCCCAACTCCTTACCACTAAGCCAGACAGGGGGAGCTGATGCCAAAGCTGTTCTCAAGATGGAGGTCAGAGTAATTGAGCTCAAGATAAGCAAGAGATGGCTCTTGGAAGTCAGGCTAGTGTAGGGAGATTGTGCCTTTCCTTGAATACTGAGGCATTCTTTCTCTGTCAGGTGCTAAAGCTCTTTGAACAATGGAATCCACTTGCTCTGGGGATTCAGTGGTTGATTGTTTGGCTTCTAACAAAAAAGGTTATCAATATGAACCCACCAACCATTCCTTGAGATAATGATGTGGTGTTTCACTGCCATAAAATTTACAGTTTTGGAGAACCTCTGGCCCCAATTCTTCTCTGTCTTATAGGACTGGTATGAGTTGGAATATATCTTTGAGTTGTGATGTTAGAGAAGAATACTGAATATCCCATGGACTGCCAAAAGAACAAACAGATATGTCTTGGAGAAAGTGTAGCCAGAGTGCTCCTTGGAGGCAAAGATGATGAAGCTTCATCTGACGTACTTTGGCAGGTTGTTAGGAGAGATCATTCCTTGGAAAGGGATATCATGCTTGGAAAAGTGGAGGGTCAGTGAAAGAAAGGAAGACCATCAAGGAGGTAGAATGATAGTGCTGCAGCAGTGGATTTTACTGTGTCAGAAATTATGAGGGTGGTACAGGATGGGACAGGATTCAGATCTGTTATTCATTGAGTCACTGTGAGCTGTACTCAGGTTGTCACATAATAACAACAACATGAGTTAGAATAAACAGCATTGGGTTGGGTTGGGTTTTAGCATGTGTATTTGGAGAAGCAAGTGTATGTTTACTGGGCATCTATTATTTATTCACCTAAGAAAGAGAAATGAAAGACTGTCCCTGCCTTCATGTCATTAATAGCTGGCAAGGAAAATAGTTGACAGTCTCAGGGTGTGTGAGGAGGCATTAAGGACAGGAAGGTTTCCCAGAGATGATGGGATTGCATCTTTAAAGAGAACCAAGAATTAACCAGATAAAGAACGGCCCCAAGTGGTAGTAAGTGGTTTATGATATTGTGGTTTGGTAGGTGAACTATTGTTTTTTAGGCACTATACGGTTGATTTTCCACTCTTAATGACACATGTCTCAAAGAAGAACTGTCTCATTGGATTGCCTTCTGCCCCTTTTATAGGCTGTAGCCTTTACAGGAGCAGATTACCAGCTGTTGTGGAGCTGCTGGTTGGATTTGAACCATCATCTGTCTTTCATTTAGCAATTGAGCACTTAATTGTACCAACAGGGCTTCTTCATAGTTGAACTGTTGATGTTAGGTGCCATTGTTGTCTATTACTCATTGTAAACAACAGATATGAACCAGCACATTATAACTGACAGTAGCTGGAGGGAAGGTATCCAGATCTTGTGTAACTGGAGGTGATCCTGAGGAGTTTGACATTTTCCTAAAGACAGTTTTAAACAATTGAAAAGCTTTAATTAGGAGTGACCTGGCTGCATTTGTGTTTCAAAAGGATCATTGAGCTGCATGTGAGGATGAAATAAAGGCAGCAATATTAGGGGCTGAGGAACCAACACACAAGGCTATTTACTGTAATCTTGAAGGTAAATGTCCCTGTAGGAAGATGTACTGAGGAGTTGGAATCCATATATTGAGATGGCCAGTTGAAGGAGAGGAGGGTTGAGCAAGGTAGATGCTCTTCAATGACTTGAGATAAGGAGCATATTTGGGAGAAAATAATGGATTTAATTGGGATTAATGAGTTTATTGATGTGCCTGAGGAGTATCCTAATGGAAATGAGGAGCCAGTCTGCTCAGGAGAGAGGCCTGGAGTGCAACAGCAAAAAACTAATTCAAGCTGTGGGAGGGAGTGAGATCCCCTGAAGAGTTTATTTTGACTGAGTGAGAAGAATGACTATGGAAACACCAGAGAAGCTGAGTAAAAGGAACTTAAGAAGAAATAATGAGAGAAGTGAACAGAAATCCATGAGCGTGAATGTATGGAAACCAAGTGTATCCATGAGCTGAAGTCCGTGACCAGTTGTGTCTAATGCTATAATTAAGTTAGGAAAGATTAGAATGATGGCCTTTGGATTTAGCAGCAAGAAAGACATCAGTGACTTGGACAAGTTTATCACCAGTGCCTATGTAGAAGAGAATGCAGCTTACATGCTGAGTGGATCACATAGCAGACAGCAAGTGAAGAATCTTTATGGTGATGTGTCATTGAGTCAGAACTGACTCATAGCTGACCCTGCAGTGGGCTTTCAGAGGCTATAAATCACATGAAAAGAGATTACCTATCTTTCTCTGGAGAAGCAGTGGGTGGATTTGAACCACTTGCCTTTGGATTGGCGTCTCTGCCTTATCACTAGGCCACCAGAGCTCCCTTCTTAATACTGGAGAGGGGAATATTTGTGCAAAGGAGCCAATGTGACGGGGCCAGGAGGGGCCAAGTCTGACCTCTGCCTGCTTCATAAAGGAGAACTGTCCACATCCGTAACATCCATAGCAGCAAACAGATAGCTACGCCTCATGCTCCTGCACTCCCTCTTACCAGTCATCTTGGTTTTATATTTGTTGTTAATTCACAGCCTTTGTTCACAGTTGTGGTACCGAGAATGGAGTAAATTAGGGAAATAAGTTGGGGAGTCGGGGAGGCAAAAAATATGACCCAAGTCTAGTTTTGGTCCTGCAGTCCCAAGTCAGATTAACAGCAACACACAGTTCCTCAATTAGTAAAAATCCCACTTCAGTTCAGTAGCACAAATCCAAATCATCCAGCAAAGTTTGCCTCAGCAGTTATAAGTCAGCTTCTCCTTCAATCACCCAGCACACAAAACTTTTAACTGGCCAGCACAAATACGAGAAGCCTCAGGTTACACGTTGCCACAGTCTGACCACACCAGTGCCACAGTTCCTTCACAATTTCTCCACCACTGTCATCGCTGGGGTCTCACTCTACAGTGTGAAAAGCGCTCTCTCTCATATTAGTCTCACAGCTGTTGATGATTTGTAAGACCATGTGTCCACAGTTAAGTTTGTTGGAGACCATCAGGGGCTAATGTGATAGAAAGTAAACTTTAAAAGTAACCAACCTGGGGGTGGGGGCAGGCAGGGAGAAAGGTGAAACAATGAGTGAATGGAAATCCAAAAGCTCTGTAAATGTTCATTAAAATTAATAAAATAATTTTTTTTTAAAAAGTAACATCACAGTTTAGGACTTGCATTCAAGTCCTGGTTGTGTGCTGGTAAAGAAGGGATTCCAGACAAAGAAGCCAAGAGAAAATACTACATGTAGACAAGAAGAACTGGCCTAGAAGTAGTGCCTATCATCCAACTGTATGGTATCTCCTGCTTTGCTCATCTGAAATGGGGACCAGCATGCCCATCTGATATGTTGGAGAGGCTCCTGTAAAGCGATGCCCAAGGGTTCACCCAGCGCCACACTCCAGATGCAAAATGTCCAGAGGAAAGGTCACCCTTACCCCATAAGTGATTACAGTGGGAAGGTTTAGAGGGAAGGAAGAGTCAAAGACTGTCTTGTCTTTGGAACCTAGAAGAACAGTGGTACCATTCACAGAAAAGGGGGTTGGCATATTTGGAAAGAAGATAAACTAAGGTTTGAAATAGATTCCAAAGCAATATCTCCTGTGCCTCTTGAGAGAAGAAAAAATGTTCTTCCCTGGCATATCCTAAATTTCCCTGGACTATCTTTAAGCTTCTCTTTTAAAAAGATATATTTTTTTAATTTGGTATGGTGATCATTTTATTTTATTTTTTTAATAATTGTAATGAACATTTATGGAGAATTTGGATTTCCATTCATTCATTGCTGCACTTCTCTCCCCGCCCAGCCCTCTCCCCCCGCCCCCCAGTTCACTCCTCTCTTTCAAAAGTAAAAGAAAAAAAAGATAATTTTATTCTTCCTTCACCCCTCCTTTGGGGTCATCATTATACTCAGTTATATAGAAATGGAGTAAGAGAAATTCTCTTGAGTTCAGTTCTGCAGTTTTCTGTTACGTTTTTGAGATTCCGTAATTATATAACCTGGAAACTATGGAGCACTTGGTTATGTTTGCATCCAGTGGAACATTTTGAGAGCCCCCAAAATCCATTTATTGATATTTTATTCTCTGTTCACTGTCTTAATTTTCATAGCCTTATAAATGGTATTCTATTCTTAATTTTTAAATTTTATTTGTGTATATATATATATTTTTTTTTAAATCCCCCTGAAGAATTTCTTATCATTTCATTGTTTCCACAGATACACAGACAGGCAAAGTCATTAAAGACAAGAGAAAAGATTCGCTCGAAATTAGACCTGTTGTCACTCGACCAGGTGAAGGTAGGTGCCAAAGAAGAGAAGAAAATATCCTTATATGAATGTTAAACACTAGACCAGTTTCCCCCAGCTCACCACCAGTTCATAAGAGGAGCACAGTTTCCAAAAACCTTCATTTACTTCCTTCCCTGAAACTCTTGTTATTTGGGTCCATTCTGAGCCTTTCAATGGAGCCACCAAACCCAGCTGACTGCCCTTCATTCAAATCCAATTTCTGGCAATGCTGCATAAAGTTTCTAAGGCTGTAAATCCTTATTGGAGGAGACTGTTGCTACTTTGTCTCAAGGAGGAGCTAGTGGATTCAAACTGCTGAACTCAGACACTAGGGCTCTTTAATAGAATTACAGGAATAAAGAAAAACAGAGTTTTCCTACCAACTGTTCCTTTTTCAAAATTAATAACTGATGTTATTTTATCAGCTGTAATTGTATCAGTGGTACATTTTTATCAATTCTTGAAGATAGATTGTGTTTTGGATTGCAGAAGTTTGCCACTGAAACTTTCCTTTTTAGGAGTGAACCCAATTCCTGAATAAATGACATTTTAGTTGGAATATGCAGGTAGTTCTTAATTTAAGACATACTTGCTTTATGAAAAAATGCCAGAACAACTATAAGATATCATCTCACCCCAGTAATATCAGCAAAATTTAACAGAACAGCAAACAACAAGTGCTGATGAGGTTGTGGAATAATTGGAACCCTTATTCACTGTTGGGGGGAGTATAAAATGGTGCAACCACTATGGAAGGTTGTATAGCGCTTTCTCTCAAAGTTGCAAATAAAAATACTGTTTGGCTCAGCATTTCCACTACTGGCAATATAATCTAAAGAAACCAGAACTGCCACTCAAGCAGATATATACACACTCATGTTTATTGCAGTTTTGTTCACAATAGCAAAGAGTTGGAAACAACCCAAGTGCCCATCATCAAATTAATAGATAGAGAAGCTGTGGTATATTCAGACAATGGAATACTATGCTGCATTGAAAAACAAGGAACTCATGAAATATTATACAAAATGGGTGACCCTGGAGGGCATTATGCTGAGTGAAATATCTCAGTCACAAAAGGACAGATACATCATAGTGCCACTGTTGTAAAGCGGGACTGACATTGGAGTTGGGGGAAACTAAAAGGGGTTAAATAATGAATACTGCATTGAAACAGATGAGGAAGAGAAATGTTTGAAAGGGATATATGATTAGGTATTATTTTGATGACAAGAATCCAGAATGAGAGCTGCATGGTGGAGTGGACGGACTGGGGCGGGTGGGGAGGGGGAAACCATTGTATAATAATGAATTATTTTTTATTTTTTTACTTTTCAAAGAGAGAAATCAACTGGGTAGGGGTGTGGGCAGGGAGGAAAATGTGCAACAGTGAATGAAGGAAATCCAAAGTCTTTATAAATTTTCATTAAAATTTGAATTAAAAAAAGAATTTGGTAGCAGAATTTGAGGAAGACTCATTAATAACCTTCATGTAAAAAATTGTGCAGAAAATTTATATCACATATAACTTTTTGAACTCCCAGATACAAAGATTGTCTTTGCAAAGATATTGGCAATAATAAAAACTGGGGCGGGGACTTCAGCTTTCAGCAGAACCAACTTAAAGTCATTAGAATAGAACATCTTCACAAGTTGGGGGTTTCCTGTGGTGGTATTTAAGATACATGGCCTGAGTGATCTAGTTTAAATAATAAAAAAAGCTGTATAGGTAGTGTAGAGACAAATATTACTGTGCACTTTCTGTGATTCAAAGGTGAAGTATATGGAGTTGGTTGTTACTGATTAAAAAGCCGAAACTTTTCCAAAGCAACATCAAGTGAGATTATGCTTAGTGGTCAAGATACCTTCTCTTAGGTTGCTCACAGATCTGTTGTGAGGATCATGTACAATGTTGCTTGCACCTGATCCTGGAAAGATGATGCACATTACAATCCTGCTTTGAGGGCAGGTATGAGGATGGCTCCATCAGGAAGCAGTGGGATGCTTGGGAAGAATGTGCCTTTGCCGTCAAGATGATGAGGTTTGAGACTTTGCTGCCTCTGCTCTCTGTAACTTCAGATGTGGATTTCCATTTCCTTGTCTGGAAAATGAGCAGAATAATGTAGTTCATAGAGGATCATGTGAAGATTAAAAAGAATGTGTGCGTTGCTTAGCAACATAGGTGCTCACTTTAGTGTTAGCAGCCATCCTCTTCGTCATCATCGTTATGATATCAAGACCCTCCACAGGCTAGGGTGGTGTAAGGCAGTGTTAAAGGCCCTTCTGTCCAGAGCAAGCTTCTGTCTACTCACCATATTATAACTTCTGTTGATCCTTGGCGAGCTTCATACATGTCTATATTTCTAAAAGTTAAACTTGTTCTTACAATTTTTTTAACCATTATTCTTCTTAATAAAATATTGTTAAGATATTAGCTGCTCAGTTTGATGAATTTTAACTACTGCTCAAAGTAGATAAACCTTTAACAGACATTGTTTAGCACCCAGAGGCAACCACTGATTTCCATCACTATACATTTTTATTTATTCCTGTTCTTCATATAAATGAGCATAGTGGTAAGTAGTTGCACTGCAAGCCCAAAGGCACGTAGTTTGGATCCTCCAAAGGATGGGCAGTCTCCTCCTATGTGATTAAACTGTCTCTGGAAACCTACTGGAGGATAAGCTATGGGTTGGTTGGTTCCACCTCAGTGGCATACAACAGCATATGGTGTGCACTCTTTCAGGTCTAACTTCTTTCACTTTGATACATCTAATGACATAGCATCTCAGAAACATCACAATGATTAAAAGAAGCCAGGCCCAAAAGAGAACACTTAATTGTGCTCGTGCATATCTGTATGTAGATCTGTACAGAACACCAAAGGGCAGTTGTTCAGACTGAACCAGGGCCTGCTTCATGGTTTAAAATTGGCAAAAATGTGTATCAGGGTTGTATCTTTTCAGGATACTTATTCAGGCTGGATGCTGAACAAATAATCCAAAAACTATATGAATAAGAATGTAGGATCCAGATTGGAAGAGGCATCATTAACAAATGATACCACCTTGCTTCCTGAAAGTGAAGAGGAATTGGATCACTTACTGGTGAAGATAAAAGCCTGTGTACAGCTTTCATTATAGATTACACCTTAACATCAAACAAAAATCCTGACAACTGGACCAATAAACATGGTAATTGGAAAAAGATTAAAGTTGAATTGGAAAAATATTAAAGTTGCAGAGGATTTTGTTTTACTTGGCTCCACACCCATGGAAGCAGCAATCAAGAAGGCACATATCACAAAATGCATGCTATGTTTATTGCGACATTATTCTCAATAGCAAAAAGATGGAAGCAGCCCAAGTGTCCATCAACAAATAAATGGATAGAGAAATTGTGGTACATTCACGTAATGGAATATTACACAGACTGAAAAACCATGAACTTGTGAAACATTACACAACATGAATGAGTCTCCAGAATATGCTGAATGAAATAACAGTCACAAAAGGATAAATACTGTATAAGACCACTGTTCTAAAAATAGGACAGTTATGGGAGAGGGGTAACAAGGAGAGCAGGAAAAGAACCTGTGTTGGAATAGGCGAAGGGAAGGTCAATCTGAGATAAATAGATGACCAGACATTATGTGTATTGTGGTTAACAATCTAGAACAGGACATACACTGGGTTGAACAGGAGCAGAAGGAAGACAAAGAAAATAGAGGGGGAAAATTCATAAACAGGAGGTGGGTGAAATGATACTGTAAAATAAATGGTTGCTTAGACACTGCAATAATTGCCTCAATTGATGGTAATTATTGAATGAAAAAAATGAGATTTGTGAACTTTTGCTCAAATAAACTTTCACTCAAATAAAATTTATTTATAAAAAATGAAACATTGGCGAGCTCTGGTGGCCTAGTGGCAAGAAGCTGCAACTGCAATCTCAGAGGTGCATGGTTCGAATCCACCAGATGCTCTGCTGGAGAAGGAGGAAAAATCACCACCTGTACCAGTCAGATGTTGTTATGTGCCGTCGAGTCATTTGCGACTCATAGCAACCCTATGTACAACAGCCCTAAACTGTG